ACTGGCTGGGCATCGGTCGGCGGGTGGTGAGCAATTGTACTGTGCATCACTTGCTTTGTGTATTATTATTATTATCATGTTATTATTATTATCATCATTTTATTTCAATTATTAAACTGTTTTTATCTCAACCCATGAGTTTTCTCACTTGTGCTCTTCCAATTCTCTCCCCCATCCCACCGGGGGAGGGGGGAGTGAGCGAGTGGCTGCGTGGTGCTCAGTTGCTGACTGAGGTTAAACCACGACACAAGGTCACTGATACCCAGAATCTGGGATGTTGGAGGAAGTGGGCTCTTCAAGGTTACCGACTTCTCTGGTCGTTTCAGTGACATGTGGTATTACCGTCCTGCGATAATGGAAAATAAAATATTGATGGTAAAAATTAACTGCTAGCATCCCTTTTTCAGGCAACTAACAAATTGAGCCCACCTGAAACTTGAGCGACGTGCTGCATTTCAGCTTGGAGACAGAAGACCAGGCTTGCTTATTCTGGGGGATATAGCACACGCACCTTCTAGAGGATCAGATGCCACAAGGGAACACCTTGGTTTCAGTTTTAAAACAGCATTCAAGTTTTCACGTAAAGTGTTCTAATACAGGGGATCATGCATCTTCATGCAGAAAACTATTTCCAAGGACACCAAGAGCAGCAAGAGGCACAGAAGACAGCAGGAAACACTTAAGCCTTTGGTTTCCTTTAATCCTTACCCATTAACAAAAGCAAAGACAGTACCTGTCCGTTTGCAGGTCTTTATTTGTAAAACAACCAAACCCAATCCCCAAACCACCCACCTTCCCAAACAAAAAAAAAAGAGACACCCAACACCCTATCTCTCGATACATTACTTTCTCAACTTCTAGTGAGCAAAAGACAAAATAAATAAATCCTCATTAATGGGAAAATAGAGTGGCAGACAAGGAAGAAAAAGGCGGTCTTAGGAATTATGCCATGAAAGGTGCAGAGGACACTTACTGACGTGAATCCCAAGTGCAGCAAATGCCATTTCATAGGTGTAAGGGAACTATCTTAAGGCAGGCAGCCTATTAGGGAGCTCTTAGGTACACACAAATGTCAGCTATGCTGAAACTCAGCTCCAAGAAATAATAACCCAAAGCATTTGCTCTCCCTGGTATCAGGGGCAAAGAAACATTAGACCATGCTTGCTGCCACTTCACTAATTCGTCCATCAGAAGCTGCGCAACCTAATTATCCCAAATGCTCTCCTTCTTTGCACTTTACTGGATTGTCACTATCTTGGATCTCTACTGCATGCCGTGGCTTCAGATTAAAAAACAAAATCGAAATTTCCTCTAAAAGGGATCAGCAACCCCAGTCGAACAGGCTGAGCTCTACAGGGCTTCACCTAGAAGGCAAAGTGTTTCAGAGCACTTTTTTCCACCTGACGTCTTCTAGAAGATGACTGCAAAAGGAGGAAATGCTATCATTCAGAGTGCAAGAGGACACCAGGTGAAATGACTTGGGGACAGCAAAAGTGCTTAGAGCTCAGCCAATACTTGAGGAAACTCTATCAGGTGGGAACCAGCCAGCGAAGAAACCATGACGATGGCACTCTCCCAGCAGCCCTAAGCAAAGGCCAGCGATCAGCTCCACGTTCCCTCACCAAGATCTTCCCAGTGTCCATCCAAACGGCAAGCTCTTTGCCTGATGCCGAGAAAAAAGCTCCTTCTCTCCGACTTGGCTTCAGCAACCACCTGAAGCGGTAGAGATGGCCTGGCACCCCAGACGTTGGCAGCTCAAGTCTGAGCTACGCTTGCCTACAGACACAAGGCCGGGGGGTAAACAAACGGGATGGGTGCTGCACAAGTCCCTCGGTGGCTGCACCTTACCGTGCCCTTAACTTCCATCCCACAGCGAAGGGCCGTGGTGTCTGACGGAAAGCCTACTTAGCGGCAAGCCGGCACCTCTCCTTGCGCGGGAGTGCCGAGCAGCACCAGCAGAAAGCGACCGCGACCACCTGGGGCACAGAAACCAGAGAAAGGAACCAGCAAAGCGGAGGCAGCGACCGACAGCTCCTTCGCTTGCCCGCCGAGCGGAAAAAGGCGCGTCACGGCACGGCCTGAGCACGCGTCG